CCAACCTCAATGATTCTGTGATTTTATCCCCATCTGAAACTCCTATGGAATTTGGGGTCATTGTTCTGCTGCTGTCGGACACCCTTGGATGTGGGCTGAGGATTCCTCAGTCCACTCCGGGCGTGGGCACAGCTGAGCTAACAGAGGAATGTTGATCTTTGAATAGCTGGCATCATACCAACTTTTAATACCACTTAGCTGCTCAGCATTGCTGGTTCTGAGCAGTGATTGAAGGGGAGGCAAAACTTTTCTTCCCCCCAGAAGTGTCAATGTCTTCAGTGTGTCTGTGCTCTGTATTTATGTTCATTCTGTCACGTCCACTTTGTTTTCTTCCTTGACGCCCACGTTCATTGCAGATATAGATGGGTATTAATGTGCACAGAGTTACCCTTGGCAAGTTTGGGGCTGGGTTTTTATCACCAATTACGTTTGTTCTCCAAGCATTCACCACTGTGGCTTTGCAGAATGGTGGCTCATGCATTTTCCTTCTCAACTTTTCTCTTTCTGTCCATTCATTTGCAGACTCAGACCATTTTTTTTTTGTGCTTTGAGGAGGAGGCATCACTTCCTTAACCACCACAGAACCAGGATTCTTTATGGCAGTGATAATACCTCCCTTTGGGTACAGGTTTACCTGGAGGCTTTTAAAACTTTCATTCTAGTTTTCTGAATCCCATCTCAAAAAAAAAAAAAACAACAGCTATGGGGTATTAGAAATGCTTCTTTTTCATAACTAGACCCTCCTGGTGGTATTTTAACAAGCTCAGAGGTCTGCAGAGAGACTTCCAAAGTGGCCACTGCTCAACGTAGAGACATCTGGACTTTGTTACTCGTGGGTAACATGCACGTAGAGGACCAACAATAGTTCTGAACATTTTTTGACAGGGAGGGAAGAGTGTTTGTGGTCTATGTTGTTGACAACGTGTATGCCTTGCAGTGCCAGTTCAGCTTTTCTCTCTTGCAGGTTCGGGAGTGGAAAGATGAAGGCAGCAAAAGATACATGTGCACTGGCCGGCCTGGCTGGCTGACTGTGTCACTTCGTGTGGGGAAGTACAAGAAGATTCATAAGAACATCATGATCAACTTAATGGATGTTCTAGAAGTGGACAGTGAAAGACAGGTAACGAATTAATCACAAAGCCTTAATGAGAGTGAAGTTTACATCTTTTTTTTTTATTGTATTTAGAGCTGATGAGGAGGGGGGATTCCTTAAAGAACAAAGGATTTTCATACCAGTAGCCCCATCACATTTCAAGTTTCACAAAGTGTGCTTGGATCCTTCTGTCCAAAAGCACAGCATATGGAATTGCTTGGCTTTTATGCAGTGAAGTCTAAAGACCAGATTGATTTATGGGTTTGGGGACTGAGCAACAAGATGTTGAGGCAGAGGAGGAATCACTAAACAGTTTCAACTATTTTTAGTGGTGCTCTTAGGAAAGCAAGTCTCTGAATTCTGGTGGCAGATGGAAGTACAAGCCAGTTAGCCTTGTTTTGTCCTTATTAATGCTGAACATTTAATTTATGTTCAGTGGGGGAACTGGGCTTTTTTTTGCTTTTCAGGTTGTTCGTGTGGAACCTCTGGTGACCATGGGCCAGCTGACTGCACACTTGAACCCCATGGGCTGGACTATTCCTGTGGTGCCAGAGCTTGATGACCTGACAGTAGGTAAGGGTCGGTGTGATGGCAAGAAACTCACTGGGTTTGCTGTGTTTTCACTAGCTTTTTAAGCACTAATTGCCACATTATTTTAGAGGTTCTGGAAATACTCTGTTGAACCTTATGTTCCCTTGTGGTATTTATGTTATAAGCAATTCCTTTTGAATAGTCTTAAAAGCCATGCACAGAGCTTATAAGTGGGGTTTTGTTCCCATAAACCACCTTCATTTCAGAGTGTGTTTCATTTGCTTTGTTATGTGTTCTCTTGATAAGGTGGCCTGATCATGGGAACTGGCATTGAGTCTTCCTCCCATATCTACGGACTTTTTCAGCACACCTGTGTGGCCTATGAACTTGTTCTTGCTGATGGAAGCCTTGTGAGATGTTCACCAGTAAGACAAAATGTTATTTTGCTATCATTTACAATGTCATTGACAGTTACCAGTGTGGATGTATGATTTAGTATGACATACTTTTTGCAGACTGAAAACTCAGACCTATTTTATGCAGTGCCTTGGTCTTGTGGTACTCTGGGTTTCCTGGTTGCAGCAGAAATAAAAATGATTCCTGCCAAGAAATATGTCAAAATACATTATGAGCCTGTGAGAGGACTGCAGAAGATTTGTGAGAAGTTCACTGAAGAGTCTAAGAAAAAGGAGAATAGTTTTGTGGAAGGGCTTGTCTATTCTTTGGAAGAAGCAGTCATCATGACAGGAGTCTTGACTGATGAAGCTGAGCAAAGCAAGGTAAGCAAAAGGAAGTTACTCATAAAAAAATCACCCTCAAAATTTAACTGAAGTTGTGCTATATGCCAATATAACACCAGAATCATTGTAAGATTGGAGCAATTTCTTAACAGAGGAGTGAAAGTTAAACCTGTCTGTCAGAATATTTTAAATTGCAGCTCTTTGTTCAAACAGCAGAGCCTGTACTCTAAATCTCTTTGATCAACATGAAGTGACCCACTGATTTCATTATTCTAGCAAATAATTTACTCTGCAGCCATTTCATTGCAGCAGCTGAGGATGAGGAGGAGAAGTCTCTTTCCTCAGTCACAGAACAGGGCTGTTTTCAGCTTCAGTTAGTCAAAGTGGCACTTTTCCCAGCAAGCTGGTAGCACTGATGTTGGTAAAACAGGTTGGGGAGGTTTAGGAGGGAGGGACAGAGGAACTGTTGCCACAGCCGGGATGTTTGTCCTCTGCTGTCACAAGCCCTTGGATCAGTGATGGGTTGAGAGACTGGCATTGCAGGAATCCAGCTGTGTTAGGCTAATAGTCCCTTGATTAGCTTGTAACAGGCAATAAGCCTTAGCAAGCCTTGTTTAAATGAGACCTTAATGGCCAGGAAGGTGAGAAGGAGCCATCCATTTGGGGAAATGAAGGCTCCCTGCATCTCTAGTGATAGCCTCGTTCAGGCTGTCGCAGAGGGTATGACATTGATTCCTCACAGCAGAGGAGTTTGGGGGTGCACTCGGTGTTCTCCAGTGAGGTGTAGCTGTTACCTGTCTTGGTGTTGGCTAATAAATACATGTTTTTTTTGTAGATAAACAGAATTGGCCACTACTACAAGCCGTGGTTCTTTAAGCACGTGGAGAAGTATTTGAAAGCTGACAGGACTGGAACCGAGTACATTCCCTCGAGACATTACTACCACAGGCATACACGCAGCATCTTCTGGGAGCTCCAGGTAGGACCAGCTCCACAACTGGAATAACACCTGTATCTTTCCCAGTGTAGGTACAATGGATCTTCTTCCCCTTGGCAACACCCCCCTCTTTCCTGAGAGAAAACAACAGTGCGGGTGGTGGCACCTGTAAAAGTCCTGCATTTGGGTGAAACAAACCAAATTCTCTCTAAACTCAGAATGCCAATTATATAGCGAGGTCATTGTTTTGAATTTAATAAATACATTAGTTGTGATGTGCATTCACACAAAACTTTATTTGGCATTCTGAAAGACTCCCATTGCTACATGTTTGGTCTCTGCAGTGAGATCCTGGATCCTTTCAGCTCCTGGAGAAGTTCAACAGGAGTTGGCTGTGCAGGAAGTAGTTAGAATTTTACATCTTTAAAATTCCTTCAAGACGTGATCTTGTATGTGTTTGTTCTTCCAAGAGTTCCATAAGCTTAGCTTCTTAGGCACTCCCTCTGTAGCTGTTTTCAGATAACAGTCTGCTGTTCTCTGATCTTCATTCCCTGAAGGGTTTTGGGGTTGAGTATTCATCTGACTGAAAATCAGCTGTTGTGACTAGAGGAGGCTCCGGGCAGGGCTGTGTAGCTAAGTTCAGTCCAGGCTTCTTTATTTGTTCATTCTTGTATTACAGTAGTTTAGCAAAAGTATCAGCAGTTAAGTCTATTGAAAATCTGGCTTGATATTGCTCTGAGGGTTCTGAGTTACTGCCTTTTGGTTCACTTGCACATTGTTAAGTTGAACTTGTTTTCTCTCCTCTTTAAAGGATATCATTCCTTTTGGCAATAACCCCATTTTCCGTTACCTGTTTGGCTGGATGGTTCCTCCAAAAATCTCCTTGTTAAAACTCACCCAAGGAGAAGCAATTCGGAAGCTGTACGAGCAGCACCACGTCGTGCAGGACATGCTGGTGCCAATGAAGAGCCTTGAAAAATCCATCCAGACCTTCCACGCCGACCTTCATGTAAGGACACGGGGTTTGAGAATGCCGCGAATCTTGGACCGCGTGTGATAAGAACTGTGACTGTTGATCCTAAGAGATAACAATCTGCTTGTGTAAAAGGTCATTGCTCTGTCCTGGGGCATATTGTGCTTGGCAAGTCTGTGATGCAAGGCTGCAGAAGAAATGAGCACAGCTTTCTGAAAAAAAGTGGGATTCAAATGCTAGTAGAAGGCTGGCACTTAGAAGAGACTTTCTCACTTGTGAACTGATTTTTCTTTCACCTAAAATGACTGGTGGTCTCACTAAACCCCACCTGTGGGACTTCGTTTCCCTTCTTTGCTTTGATTTCTGAGTTTAATTGAGTTAGTATAAGAAGCTCAGGTGGCAATTTCCATTTTGGACTGACCTGAAAAAGAAAGCTCTTAATTCCCTCTTCACTCAGAATGTGTATTCAGTTGTTGCTTTGGGATCAGGAGTGGCTTTTCTGGTCTTTGTTTTTAATTTCAAATATTTAAAGGAGAGGAGATAATTCTAGAAGGACACAGGACATATTCTGAGCATCCTCATATGGTCATTAGAAAGTGCAGCTAAGAACCACGGCAAGACAATTGGAAAGGAAGAGCTGTGCAAGTTTCAACCCCAAACTGGGAAGAAGTCCTCTTTTCATTTTGTCACCTTTATTAAGAGATGGTTTAAAGGATTGTTTTGTTAAAAATAAGTGATAAAGTGTTCTTTTTTACCTCTGCAGGTGTACCCTCTTTGGTTGTGTCCTTTCATATTGCCCAATAATCCCGGTATGGTCCACCCAAAAGGAGATGAAGCAGAACTCTACGTGGATATAGGAGCTTATGGAGAGCCCAAAAGGAAACAGTTTGAAGCCAGAGCTTCAATGAGGCAGATGGAGAAGTTTGTGAGGAGTGTGCATGGGTAAGGATCCCACTCAAAACAGTAGCAATGCCATATAATTTACACCCTTATGGTTTAACCACAGTCGTTTAATCCTACAGCAGTAACTGGACAAGCACAATAATTGAAAACTAATTTTAGTCACTAATTCTTAAATACAATTTTACTTTCATCATCTGATGTCACGAGCAGAGAAGCGAGTGCCCTGGCTGACGTTCCCACAGTGTATTCAGGAGCTGGGTGGCTTCAGGTCTCCTGTGCATCCTTCCAGCTCGGGGCTGCTGTGGGACTGGAGCCTCTGCTGGAAGAGAACCCGGGCAGGCAGGAGCAGGAGAGGCTCAGCAGCTCTGTGCTGGCTGCGTGGCAACCAGCCCCAGCCCTGGCCTGGGGATGGCCTCTCTTGGCAAGGCTGGCCAGCACAGCCTTCAGCAAGGCAGCCACTGACTGGCAGGGGCAAAGCAAGTCCTGTTCTGGTCACGGGCGCTCCAGGAATCCCACAGGCTGTTGAAGCTGGGACAGCATCCCTGCCTGCCCTGGGGACTGTTCTGCTCCCTGCTGCTCTGCACGTCCCAGCGTGGGGGCCAGCCCTGACCTCCCCCTGCAGTCCCTCTGCAGCAGAGGGAGTCTTCTCTGCCTCCCAGCTTGTGCTTCCATCACTTCCCTTTCCCTGCCCCGATTCCTACCACATTGGACAGCAGTAGGCGTGAGGTATGTGCCCACCATCTGTCACAGACTCGTGCCAACCTCATTTGCCACAGTGGTGTCAGTGGAGGAACAGTTACAGGCTGGTTTCTCGGGAACAAAACCCAACTACATGGTATTTTTACACCATTGGTGTCATTTATCCACGTTTCTGTTTTGACCTACTTCTCAGTCTAACAGTGATTGTATCCCATGTGGCTGAGTAACAGTTCTCAGTCTGCTTGGAGATGATTTGGAGAGTGTGAATGACTTCAGCTGCAGTGAGTGATCTGCCAGAGAACAAAGCAACCGAAAGTTAATTTCAAGCTTTTTTTAATTAACTTGGAATTAAGCTTTTAATTTAAAGCTCTTTACCAGCAGAGTTTTGTCTCTTCCCTACCTGTCAGTGGGAAATGAACAATGGATAAATGCCTTATCTTGCAGTTTCTTAATCACACACAACAATAGAGCTTTCCTGTCAGTTTGTGTTTTACTAGCTGCCTTTCAGAGCACATGGTACAAACAGAAGGAAGAGGCCACAGCTAAATAAGGATTTATTTTTATAAACAGTCCTTTGTTACACTGTGCATCATTTACACTATAAATTTACCTTCCTGGGCCAATTTTGCTGGCTCTTGCCTTCCCTCTTATATTCTCAATGCCCAGTTCAAAGAAACCTTAAAAAGTCAAAGGACCTGTTGTTGCATCTGCTGCAAATGCATTTAGCAGTGCAAGCTGGTAGGAGACACCATGACAGTACCTCAAGGGACCACAGGAAAGGATGCAGGAAAAATACTTCCTTTGTTTGTTTGAAGCTGGAATTAAAGGGTTTTGAGTGAAGGCAGAGGAAAGCAGGCTTTCCAAAGCAGCTAGGCAACTATTTGTCAGGGAGAATTTATGTTATGGATGGGTTTTGGTGCAAGGGGCCAGACTTGATTTGGGGCAGTGTTTGAAGTTCACTCTAGGCCTGTGTTTCTGTGAACACTAGTTTTTAGAATACAGGTTGTCAGAAGACCCAGCTCACACAAACCACTGTTTTATTCTTTAGTGCTCCTCCTTTTCTCTTCATAGTAGAAAAACTAATGAAACTATCAATACATGGATTGCTGAAGAAATGCCCTGAACCATATTTAAAAAGCAGCAGTTACTTTAATTGCTTTCATTTCTCACCTTCCCCTTCACCAAAATGACTGTGGCAGTATTCTGCTGTTTTCACCCTTACGTGTTATTTCCTCTTGGAAAAGAGATCATGGTAATCTTAAACCCAGAAGACACAACTGTCTGAGTGTCCCAGCATAATCCATGTGAGGAAGTACATTTGCTTGCTTTTAAAAAGCATTTTTGATGGTTTTTTTGGTTGTTGTTGAATATTTGCTCTTCATAGCTTGCCCTGTTTATCTTTGTTTTCAATATTCTCTTTCAAATCTTGAATGATTTGAAATGAATACTGAATATCATTTGGTTTTTTTTCCTCTCTTCTTGCTCTGCAGTTTCCAGATGCTGTATGCAGATTGCTACATGACCCGTGAGGAGTTCTGGGATATGTTTGATGGTTCGTTATACCACAAGTTGAGGGAGCAAATGAATTGCAAGGATGCCTTTCCAGAAGTGTACGACAAAATCTGCAAAGCTGCGAGGCACTGAGCCTGGATGATCTAATCAAGCAATCAGGGAAAGATGAATTGACCTATAGCTAGTCAGTATATACTTAAAAAAAGAAAAAAAAAAAAGCTTTATTGCTCTCCAAATAAGCTCGTCCTTGTTGATGTTTAAAGATATGAATTCCTGCTTTATGAATTTATGTTTAGTATTTCTTCATATGTTTTAAAGCCAATTTTTCCAAACTCAGAGTGATTGTTTTTCAGAAATCTCAAGTGCTAGCCTTTGTATCTAATGCAGTGACATAGGTGAGTTCACCTATTTCCAAGCATAAGGAAGATAATGGGAAGGGAGGAAGGTACTGGAGTTACAGCAGGGGTACAGCTATACAGTGAGGTGTGGAGGAAATAGCTTTTTACTTGTGCCTGTCAGATTTGGGCTGATTTTGGTGATGAAGTGTAAGCAGAGGTAGGGTTTAGGTACTTCGTAACCGGCGAAGGGTTTGCCCCAAAGTGTCAATCTTCTGGCTTCGTAGACTGCTGAAGAAATTGCTGCTATTTCGGACAGCCAAGCTTTAATTTCAGTTTTTACTTGTTGCGGGTCAGTTTATTTGGATTTTTTGGGGTTTGTTTTTGGGGGGGGTTTGGTGGTTGCTTGATTTGAGTGCCTTATCAATACCAGGTTGGAGGAAGACACGGGTTGTTCCAGACCGTTCTGTCCCGGCCGGTGGGAGAAGGAACTTAGGGCTTTATTTACACGAGCTCTGTTAGGGGCACGTGGCTGGGGGTTAGAAGAACTCTTGAGGTGAATCTCGCTACACACAGGCGTTGGTTCTGACTCAAGTGGTGTGTTTGTGTTCCGTTTTGGCTGGATTGGGTGGGTGGGCTCTGTGAAAGGACCGTTTGGGTCACCTGGAAAGGAAGTCAGCAGCAAGGGCCGTTCGGTTCCCTTCCGCCGCTCGTTCTGAGAGCGGCACGGTCGCGCTCTGCACCCTCACGAGGGGAGAAGCATGGGAAGATTTTGACCCTGTAGCCAAAAACACGATTCCAACCCAACCCTGTGTCTTGTCCAAGCAGTACTTAAAATTGTTACTTGAAACCTTATTGAGCTTGAGGGAAAAAAAAAGTCATTTTCTTGAGGCTTGTGTCAGGGGTAAGACATTTTTAAGCAGTTACTGGTGGGAGGCATTGTAGTTTTTACATGAGTGCTAAACCAATGATTTTTATTTATTGATAGATGGATGTTTATGGTCCAGATGAAACCAATGATGAAGCAGTAACAAGAACAGGCTCGACCTGTTACTCAGTGATACATGCTGGGCAAATGGTGTGCAAATAAGGTACCCCTTAAAATCGGTCGCGGGGGCCCGGCAGCGGGCGCAGGCTGCCGAGGGGAGACACAGCTGTGCCAGTGATCCAGGGGCATCTGCTGCACCCTGCCAGAGGCGAGCGCTGGTGTTTGGGGTGTAACCTGCCCTCCTGTCCCTCCCAGGGAGGCGGCACAAGAGCCGTTGCCCCGTCCCTGGGGAGAAGCTATGATTTAGCCCAGTGCCTGTGAGCTAACTGCGCGGAGCAAGAGCGGGCTTGGGTAGCTTTTAAAGGGCAACGTTGAAGCAGCTAGAGGATATGCAAATACTTTTACTTGGCAAAGTTTCTCTCACTTATGTACTGAGGATCTTTAGGTATGCACTGTGTTTGTTTTTTCACTCCTTAATTTATTGGCAAAGCCTGCGTGACGTGACGGGCACCGGGAGTGGGGCGGTCCCCCGCCTGCACCTGCAGAATTGCTGTTGCTCTTAATTTTTGGTTGTACAGGCTGTTTAAAATAAAGATCTAGCCAGCGTACTGTTCAAAGTGATGTCTTTTAGTGAGTGATTCCTTACTTTCCAACAGCTCTGCTCATCATTTCTCACGCTCTTGTTGTTACAAACAGTCAGAGGCGGCTGAGAAAAGCTGCCTGGGTAAGGGACCAGAAGCACTGCGAGGTAGGGGGGAGGTGAGGACCTGGGTGCTGCAAACAGCTTTGGAGAGATGTCTGAAGCCTGTGAGTCCACACTTACCTCTGCCCCAAGACACACCTGTACAAAGCAAACCCCTCATAGCTGCGCCTTAACCCTTCACTTACACCCCACTAACTCCACAGAGCCTCATAATGCCAATTATTTAGATTTTCTTTTTTTTCCCCCTGGGGTCTCACACAGCCACATCTTCTGTTTGCTTGCAGAATGCCTCCACAGCAGCTCTAAGGCTTAGTCTGAGGTATTCCTGCCCCTCCCTTGGTCAACGCTGGTGCATCCTCTCCCCGTGCTCTCTTCCCAGAGAGAAGCTCCCGGGTTTTCTCATGAAATCCAGGCTGCCAAATGCCTCAGCCCCACGGGAACCACAGTTCAGATGCTGAAGCCCTGTGTTCCTTCAGTCAGGCACTAGGCTGGTCCTGACTGAGGCCATATTTCACAAGCCTCTCCTGTTACCCAGCAGTATTTCTGCAGCCTGCACACCCACTGCTGGAGCTTTTCCCTTCAGAGACCTCCTCCCTCCTTCCCTTGCCTCTCTAGAACAATAATCAGGATTTCCTTACACCACTGCAGTTCTACCTGTGTTCAATTATCTCCCCACCAAAGGATAATGGCAGATTAATTAGCATACTCAATCAGCCAACAACTAACATGTAATTACACCTAGATTTAATTATTTCAGTCTGGTCTAAACACTAAGATGAGATTTTATAGAGGTTAACTCTAAGAGAACCAGCGTAGCCCAGTATGTTTTATGGCCATCCTTTGCTACCACCGACACAGCTCACTCTTCATTTCACTTTTCTGTTGCTTCTAGGTTTCAATACCCTCCAAAATTTGGAAGGGTGATCCTAAACTCACCCTGATTCCCTCCAGCTGCTTATAAACATTGGCATTGCTAATGCAAGTGAAGCTGTGGTGAATCACAGAATCATGGGGGATGGAAGGGACCTCAAAAGATCATCCAGTCCAACCCCCCTGCCAGAGCAGGGTCACCTAGAGTACATCACACAGGAAGGCGTCCAGGCGGGTTTTGAATGACTCCAGTGAAGGAGACTCCACAACCTCTCTGGGCAGCCTGTTCCAGTGCTCCGGCACCCTCACAGAGAGATTTTCAGCTGTGGTGGCCCCACCTCACCCATAATGGGCACGTGCAACTTCATGAAGTAGTGTGGATTGGAAGGAGGAGTCGAAGGCTGGATGAGCTGTGCGTGCCAGCAGAGCTGCCTCTGGAGTATCCAGCATCCTCTTCCCAAGCATGTCGTTCTTATAAAGGCCAGGGAGGAATTAATGAGCTACTGAACAGAAAAGTCAGAGCACTGATTGTCTAGGAGTGGTTTATTACCAGAGAACAGGCCCACCTCATGACTTGCGTGCCAGCACGCTGTGTTTTCCTCTTCACCCATCTCATCTGCTGGCACATCTGTCACCTACACACTGACTGGGGCTTCCCAGCACTGTCTCAGGGCTGGAAAATTGTGATTGATTTCTTCAGAGGTAACTGCACCACGTGGAGCAGAAATCAAATGCCTCCAGTTGTTTTTAGCAACAGGCTTGAGCCGCTCGCTGTAGAAAGAGAATGTGACTCAGTGGGCTCAAATTATTGGCTGGATAATCTCATTAGTCTTAATGAGCACGGAGGTGAACAGAACTCTTGGAAGTCTGGCGGTTCCCTTAAAAGCACAGCTGTGACTTGAACAGTGGTTTTGGAGCTGGTGCTGTTTGATCAGAGAGATGGGTCAGAGTTCCAGGTCCTGCACGCTGTTCAGGTTTCCTTTGATTCCTGGTGGAGCTGCAGGATTAACAAAGCCAGGCAAAGACTGTGCTGTGCCTTCTCCAGCACAGGACAGCTAACTGCTGGGTGCCCTGCTGGAAGCTGATGAGTTATCTCCCTTCCATGGGTGGGTAAAGGCACAGCTTGAGAAGGTGATTCTTGCTCGGGGCTGCTAAGCACTGGGAACGAGTCCAGGCAGCTGATTATGCACCCACCTCCCAGTTCCTTCCCAGGCTGCCTCCTCTGGCTCCATGGAAACACCTCCCCCGCAGGCAAGTCTCCTTTCACAGGGACCACCCCACCCACCTCGGCCTCTGCAAGTGCCTTGAGAGCCAGGAGTCCTTCAACCCTCCCACTGCCCCGCGAGGTGGGGAAGCACAAAGGTCTCCCCGGGTTCCTGAGCGGGGAGAGGTGCAGCACCACCCGCCCCCTGTCCGCAGAGGGAGCCGGGAGGGGGGGGCTGGCGGGCGTTTCTCAGCCCCGAGTCAGGGCTTCAGCGACACGAGCAGCCCTTGCAGTGTCAGTGACGTGCACTCTGACTTTCCTGCAAGCCAGCGTGAGGCCACGGCCAGCCCCCCAGTCTGCCAGACTCACAGCAGGCAGGCGTCCCGCCCGAGGTCGCTGAGGTACCGCTGCGCGTCGCGCCGGTACAGGGACCGGTACTGCATCTCCCGGGGGCGCTGCTCCCGCTCGGCGATGCTGTAGCGACCCACGCCCACGGGGTTCTGGAAGGAGAAGGTCTCAGCTGCTTCCCCCAGCCAGACGCAGCATGGGGAAAAAACAGGCAGTGCCTCCAAGTGGCCAGGCCTTCAGTTGCAAAAAATCATAGAATTCTTTATGTTGGAAAAGGCCTTTAAGATAGTGGGGTCCAACCACTAACCTCCCACTGCCAGGTCACCACTAAACCATGTCCCTCAGCACCACATGTACACATCTTTTAAACACATGCAGGGATGGGGACTCCACTGCTTCCCCAGGCAGCCTGTTCTGGTACCTGAAAACTCTTTGGGTGAAGAAATTTTTCCTAATATTTAACCTAAACCTCCCTTGGTGCAACCTGAGGCCATTTCTGAATGTATCTCCATCCCCTGCCTTGGCTGAGACAGCAGAATGAAGGACCTCACTAGCATACCACCCCCCAAACACTGGCATGCTAACCCTGGGCTTATGCTTAGTGAGCCTGGTTTCATCCCTTCCCTGCTTCAAATCCAGGTTAAAGCTCTTTCCATGAGCCCAGCTGACTCCTGTGCAAGGATCTTTTTCACCCCTGTGGGCTCCTGGTGGTTCCTCCACTCCCCTGAGGAATTCCTGGTTTGGGAATCCCCCTGTACGACGTCCTGGAGCACTCGGCTACAGCTCCTGCCAGCACTGGAGCTGCTCACTTTGGCAACTGAGACAACAATGTCACGGAATCAGAACATCATCAGGAACACCCATCAACCCAACACATGTCCCCAAGTGCCACATCTACACATTTTTTGAACCCCCCCAGGGACAGTGACTCCACCATGGCCCTGGGCAGCCTGGGCCAAGCCTCACCGCTCTATCAG